GTAGAGAACTCTCATATTTGGAATGAAATTTTGTTCTTGACAAATGAAGTATCAAAATAAATAAGATTCAACTATTGATAACAACTTTTAAAATGTCGAGAACGTCATTTTAATGTAACTTCTCATTGAAGATACTTTTTCTTTTCGAAATTCGCGACAAATTAAAAAAAAAAATGCTTCATTTTTCATTAAAGGTATAAGAGACAATTAAGTACTAAATTTGATCATTTTAACCAGAGTTATCAAAATTAGATATTTTTTAATTGACAAGCATGAAATTAGACATTTTTGTACAAAAAAAAAAAATGGTTCACTTTTGAACTTTATTTATTAATTGCATCAATTATATTATTTGATTATTGTGATTTCTTTTTCTGGGGTGATGAGTCAAATTGTCAAAATCAATCCAATCTAATCCTTTAGCTAAAGAGAGCCACGAACAGATGCACCATGACAATATTTTCAACTCGAAGGGACAGGGGAGAGAGAGAGAGAGAGAGAGAGATTTTGATAAGAGAGAAAGAAATTTTGTACTCTTTCCACCAATGTTCATATTTGATATGATATTTTTTAACTAACACGTCGACTTGCATGTGTGATGCTCATAATTAACCATCATTTCCTAGTATTATTATTAATTTCCACTAGCCTAGTGGGACAATTGATCGAATTCACATAATTGGAAACCTAGCAGCGTGTGACACAAGTATTACGTTGTATTATTAATTTCCAAATCCTTATATGAATGTTCCAAAAATTTATTCTTTAATATGTTAGGAAATCGAGATAATAAAATACGCAATAAAGTATAATAATTGTTATTAAAGTCTCTAAGCTTATATCGCGCATCAAAAGTAAGCTAAAAAATTTCACGATTAAAAATAATTGTCTTTTTAACTTAATAAAATTTAGGAATATTGACAACAAAATAATGAGGAACAAAGTATGCCGATAATTAATAGGCAACATCCGAATATCAATGGAAAGAGTGTGCAATCTAATAATGGCCTTGAAAAACAATGTACCAATCCGAGGAGTATCATGCACTTGAGCTAATATAAAAACAAAGTCAACATGAAAGCCATGCAAAAAGAACGGTGATACTATTTTTAGCACAAGGTCGATGACACATGGAATGTTTAACTTTGACGACAATGCTATAGGTAATCTTAACTATGTTAGTATTAAGTGTATTGTTTATAGGTGTAATCACGATAGATGACCCAATACACTGTTCATTTTTAATAGAAAGTTTAATTTGAGTTATAAGTGTTTTAAATAAAACCGATTAGTTTGTTTATTTTGATAAAGTTCTAGATTAGTGGAATATCGTTTTATTTGATATTCTTTCAGTTTCTTGCTCTATAAATAATTTCGTAAGGTTTTATTTCTTTAGTTCAATTGAGTTATCTCAATATGAACTTTGTAAAAAATACTGGTTGTAAAATTAAAAATTTATTTTTGAATATGTTTGAATAATTTTTTAAAAGTATTTTGTCTTACTAGAAGACCTTTTAAAGAAATTTTTTTCTTTAAAAGCAGAAATTCGATCAAATAAACCCTTAGTACACTAAAACATTTAGTTTTTTAGTTATATGGCTTCAACACATGAACAACATGGAATTCACTTTGGAATTTGTCAAAAAGGGTTAGATAGGTGATAATCTCGTATAGTTGAAATACTTATTTTGCTAAAATAATTTTTAAATTTACCTTTTATGCTACAAATCTATTTTTCTCGAAAGTAAGTACTCACTTTTTATAAAAATAGCATAAATTTAACAATAATTAAACATGCTCTATACATGAACTCTTGATCATTTAGAATGACTGATTGAAATCCGACAAGAGAGCTCTATCGCGAGAATGAAGCCATGTGCAAATCTATCCGATGGCTCATATTTTTCACCATCTACTATAAAAGTTCAAACATTGTATCATCGCGAAGGTAATGGGAGTTTAAACGCTCATACTATACTATTCACCATTACTCTCTATAAAGAACCCAGATTCAAGCCACTTATAGATAAAATATAGTTTGTCCTCGCCACATACATATTCCATTGGAGTGCCTTGGACCACCACTCCCATCAGCAGAGCCTGGTCACTAGGGCTGTCCATGGGTCGGTTCGGTTCGGTTCTGAAGATACCCGAACCGACCCAAAACTTTCGGGTATTTAATAAATGGACCCGTCGGGTCCAAATATAATTATGGAACCGTTCGGGTTCGGTTCCGTTCGGTTCGGTTCGGGTCGGTTCGGTTCCGTTCGGTTCCGTACCATAATTAAATTTTTTAATATTTTCAGCAACACTACATAAATACAATTAATAACATTTCATTCGTAACTTTTACAAATTAACGTAGCCCAATTCAAAAAAATATACAAAACTAGCCGTCCAATAAGATTAATTCAATGCATACAAATACCAAAAAGTAGATATTAATATTACAGCAACACTACATAAAGTATATTCATTTGCTTCAAATTAAAATGGGCTAATGGGTTTTAAAAATGATTTGGGCTTTAAAATTAAAATTATGAAATAATCTGATTTATTTAATTAATTTGCTAATTTGTTTAGAAAAAAATAAAATAATTTAATTAATTCAATATAAAAAATAAAAAAATTATTTAGTTTCGGTTCTTATTCGGTTCTTCGGTTCTTGGTCTAAACCCGAGACCCAACCCAAACCCATCGGTTCTCTATTCGGGTACCCGTTCGGGTATTTAATTTATGAAGAACCGCTCGGTTCGATTCGGTTCGGGTTCGGTTCAGTCCGGTTCGGTTCGGGACTTTTGGACACCCCTACTGGTCACATGTCCTAATGGTTTGCTTCAGTGTGCAGTGCATAAGCTTACGTGGATGTTAGATTAGTTGGGATTTGTTGGCTACGTCACCTTTACAAAAATCCAGGTTAACAAAAATTATGAACAAAATAAAATCTGATTCCACTGTGCTATCCAATCTGATTCCACTGTCTAAGCACAGACAACCTTAGTTCATTGCAAAATTGATGGCTTTAGTTTGGTAATCGACAGAGAATCCGACACAGATTTTCAACCATTATCACTTTATTAATCATTTCAAGATCCTTTTAACTTTTGACTTTGAAAAATAAAAATTTTATATTTTCCTTTTTGTTTTTTGCGGGATTATTTTACTCCATTTCGTTCCACAAAAATTGTCATATTTCTTTTTTCACACAGATTAAAAAAAAAATTAATTGAAATAATAAATTTTACAATCATTTTTTCTAATATACCCCTATATTAATGCAACCAATATTTAAGGTATTTAAATTACGCATGCAATATTCAAAGTAATTAAACTATTCTTGGTACTAGCCATTATTTAATGCAAGAATCAATGTAATTAACATTTCAAAATCATCAAATATTCAAGGATGAATAAATGATGACAATATATGATAGTGAGCCTTTTGGTGGAGAGGAGAATATAAATGTTGGAGAGGAGAGAGTCCGTTTGGCAAAATATAAGGGTCCGTTTGGTATGATTTTTAAGATCCAAAAGCTACATTTGAACATGTTTAGTTAATTTTATGAAAGTATTTATTCTAATTAGAAGAGTGTTTTTTTTAAAAAAAAAATTGATTCAATATGACTTCTTCTAAAAATACCTTCGAAATTTGGATTTTTTTTAAATAAAAATTAGTTTTAAACAAAAATTGAGGCTGCTTCATTCAAAAACTCTTCTACGAGAAGAAAAAATATAAGCAAAAGTCATGTCAAATGGATCCTAAGTTAATTTCAACTAATTAATGATGCTTTTTTAATCCTCGTATAAATGTTGGCACCAAAACTGAAATTCGAAATTTCACGGGCCTGAATAACGATAATTTATTTTTTATTTAAAAATTAATTTTATTATAATAACTTGTAGATTTGTTGAAAAGAAATATTCTACTACTGTGTTTGATTTTTTACAATTAGAAGCACTATTTTGAATGTAGTGAAACATAGGCAAAAAAGTCAGCTATAACGCCCATAATAAACGTCCAAGTAGCAAGCATCATTATTTTGGGTCCCAGGCACGAAAGATAATAAATTAGAAAAAGTAAGCTCTTTTTTTGTAAAGATAAAAATCACATTTTTAATAAATTTGATAAAAATTTCTAACCTTCAACCAAAGGAAATATGGAACTCACATACCCGAGGTCCGTAGTTTTCGCTTTCCATGTCAATATTATGTTCTATTGTAGACGTTTCAGATAGAGATGGCAAAAAAACTCGATACTCGTCCCGAATGGGGTGGAGATAACTCGTTTAATCTAGTATTCAGTGAGGGAAATTTTGCCACGAGGCGGGGACGGGTAACGGGCGCCCCACCCCGCTTAATTTTTTTTTTTTTTAAGAATTCAATACTGGAAAATTTCACGAAAATTCATTAATTCTAATAGAAAATGGCAACTAAAATTATTTGTCTAAATCTACTGAATGGAGGCAATAAAAATAAATTATCAAAAACTTAAAAAAAATAAATTAAACGGGGTAGTGAACGGGGTAAGGACATCGCCTAGCCTTAAACGGGTAACAGGACAGGGACGGGACGGGGAATTACTTGGTAGGGCGGGGGAGGTTGTCCCAATACCGTCCCACCACGTTGCCATCTCTAGTATCAGAAAACTCCGAAGAAAGACGAAAATAAACAAATTAAACACTTCAAAATAAATCCCAAAAGAATGAAATAAAACACATAATAGAAATATTAAAAGAACGTAATTTAGGTTCAATCTATATCTATTATATCTTAAAAGATAAAAAAAAAAAAAAAAGGGAGAACAAAATATTTTAAACATAAATTCAAATTTTTTTAATATTTTTTTAATCACCTATTCTTTATCAATTTATTATTCTAAAACTTATTTTAACGAGATAACTAGTAATGGATTATAACCGAAAGACCACAATTTGCTTAAAGAAATACTAGTAAGAAGCGTATATCCGTCCCAAAATAATATGGTTCAACTCCTCAGACCTCTATTGACCATTTCGCTGTACCAATCTCTGTAATTTCAACTGTTTCCGAAACCTGTCAATGAAATCATCAGCTTTTGCATCCACAGCCTCATCCCCCGCCCAGTTAGTAGGCGCGGTTTCCTTTACCGTCGCCGGTCGCCGCTGATCCACCTCTTCCTCTTTCTCCGGATCAGCCACATACACCTTCTCACTCGCCGACTTCTTCAACACTTTTTTCGTCGGAGCTTGAACGCTCGTGTCAGACGTGCTCCTAGTCACATGACTCTCTTCCACCCATTCAGATTTTTGCTTATGTGTTTGTTCTTGAGGTTGAGTTTGAGTTTGAGGTTGAGGTTCAGATTCTTGCTTATGTGTTTGTTCTTGAGGTTGATGTTGAGGTTGAGGTTGAGGTTCAGATTTTTGCTTATGTGTTTGTTCTTGAGGTTGAGATTGAGGTTGAGGTTGAGGTGGGGGTGGGGCAGTGGTGTGATGGGCGTCGGAGTCAGACGGCTCGTGCTGTTCGGAGCGGTAGACAAAGAGGTTGATCGGCTTGACTCGTTTTAAAAGTGATGGAACTCGGATGAGTTGCAGTGGCGAGTTGTCCTGGTCATCACTGAGTTTTTGGAGTTTTTTTAGGGCTGAAGTGATGAAAATGGTAACAATGGTGAGATTCAATACGCAGAAGAGAAGAAAAGTTGGTGTTAAGAAGCTTGCGAACGAAATCCACATGGTTGTTTTGCGACGTCGTTTTTAGGTATATCTTGGGGGTGCTAAACAGAGTGATGAAAGATGGAGAAATATCTGGGTTAACTCTTCATACATATATATACCACGACAGGGGCATATACGTAATATAAAAAGGTACATATGGTCAAAATGGGAATTACATAAAATCCAGTCGGCCAAATGAAGATTCACAAAAGTTTAATTTATTTAACTACATACTCTAAGTTATTCCTAACTTACACCAGACTCCTGGACCATCCATTAAGCTGCTCCACCCAAATTGAGTATTACAACACTAGCTGCTCCATCCAAGAATCGAATTCCCCACTCTGAAATTGCAAGCCCAACAGTGCCCATCCTTTGCCAATTTGGATGTGCCCCGAGGGGCACTCTAAGTTATTACTTATATAGACCATGTTTGGTTTGGATTAAAATTCAATTAAAATTTTAAATTAAATTTAACAATTAATTTTAATTATATATTTAACGAGATCCACAATTTTTCAACCATATAATTAATCAGTTTTTATCAAAATTTCTGGATTAGAATAACTTCTTGATGCCCACTTTTTTATTTAATTTTTGGAGTTTCACTTATAATCTCAACTAACATCTGAATATAATTATATTTATTATTAGAAAACAATTACTTTTTAGATACAATTTTGAAAGAATAAAATTTCTTATATTATGATGGGAAAGGGCAACAGAAAGATCCATCCAAATTGTTATGTACCACACGTTTCGAAAGCGTAAGAACAACGTATATAAATTAAAACCGAGTCGCTTTCAATATGTTTTTTTTTTTTAATTTAAAAAATTAAAAATAAATAACATTTCGATTATGGAATGTCTTGTCAAGATTTCGCATTATCCACGTATTTGAAAAATATGTTGACTTAATAACTAGAAAACATTATATTTGAGTCTCCAATCAAATCCTTTAGCTAAGATAGCCACACATTGATTCAATAATTTAAATAGAAAGGGACAAACAGATATTTGATATTTAGGCAAGCAAGAAGTTTTGGACTCTTTCAATTCCACCAATATCCTCGGACTTGATATTTAGAGTAAATATCAACATATTCGCCCATGAAAGCTGGACTAACATGCAATGCAATGCAAGTGATGTATGTGTTCATAATTAACTGTCATTTCCTAGTATTAATATTATAAATTCCCACGAACCTGGTGGGAAACGAAGTATTGAATACAGCCGACACAATTTCTAATAATTGGAGAACTAGATGCGTGTGAAAGAAGTATTACTCCCTTCTCTTATTTTCTTAGTTTTTTTAATATGCTTCTATTTAATATTAATATACATTGTTATCAATGAATAGGAACTATTCTTATTTAAATAATTATTTAATGTAAGAGTGTATTAAAAAAAAATTAAGCAAATTTTATAATTTCAATTATATTAATTACATTATCTTAATCTATGTGAAAATGGAAATAAGCATATCTTTATGGGATATAGGGAGTTTGTACGTACGTATTATGTATTTAATACTCATTTCGTGCCATAAAGATAAGATTACTTTCATTTTCACACTAATTAAGAAAAATATAATAAATATAGTTGGAAATATAATTTTTACTTTCATTTTTTCCAATACACTTGTACATTAAATAATGGTTCATTTTATCGGAAAAAAAATAATAATGGTTCAAATAAGAATGATTCATATTTGTTGATAACAATACATATTAAATAGGATACATTATAAAACTAAAAAATCAACTTCACTCTCAACAAAGAAAGTTGTCCATAATTTGGAAATCACGAAAAAAGCAAACAAGTCCATCTTTATGGGATGGAGGGAATGCATCAACTATTATGCATCGAAAACGGATTAACTAGTTGTACACACTTGATTTACATTAAATTTGACATTTCATGTGTTGTCAAAATTTGTGTCATTGATTGTGTTAATACTAAAACCTAATTAATTTAACAATTTGTCTCAATTATTCGTTTCCGACAGGTTTTGCTAGTCAATCAGAACATTTGACAGACAGTTTTAAACATTGTTATGACTGGTACAATTTAACAGACTAGATTTCTATGAGATGTAATCAATTGCGAAAATAAATAAGAATGAACACTAGATATAGCGTGGTAATCTCATAAGGGAAACATCCACGGGCCCCCATGCCATGAGTAAAATAATCTACTATCAAAGAATTAAAAATACGATAGTTTCAATTTAGCAATTTCGCAAAATTAACTAAAAAAATAAAAAAACAAATAAAGAACAAATCCCTCATTTTCTTATTCATTTTGATTTGTTGGAGAAGTGGAATCAAATCCTCTGTCTTGATTTTGTCTTTACTTCACTATTGTATTCGACTGCAACTACTACTTGGACTAAAATTCAACGATCTTAACTCAAGCTAAATAGCCTGATCTTTAACTAGGATTATACCATTTAAGCTCAGGTGTGTTCTTTTCAATTACAGTTGAAGAGTACGATTTTTTGCTTTGAAATATTTCAATGAAATATCAACCGATCAGAACTCATTAGAGATGGTCAAAGACTTCGGAATTTGTTGCTGCAGGTTCGACGGACATAAACAAATCTTTCTCAAAGTATTTTATATTTTTGTCTCTTAATCGTTTTCTCTACTAATGTAGAGGCTCCTTCAAGGCACAAACATGCTTTTACCTAAAATATGGAAATCTTACACGGTAAGAATAATATAGAATGTGTTTGATATGGTCAATAATGAAATTAAGAAATTATTTAATTTTTTGAAATAATATTTTCTTCTTTCAATTATTTGACTAATCAAACCAGTCCAATAAGGTAAATATATTTCTCTCTATATATAGAATATGTTTGATATGGTCAATAATTAAATTAAAGAAAATTTTGATTTGTTAAAATAATATTTCATTTTTTTAATTATTTGACCAATCAAATCAGTTCAATAAGGTAAATATATATTTTTGTATATGGAAAGTAAAGATTACATCTTGTTTAGGGTATGGAAACCCTAAACCCGTAGCCAAGAAATCTATTTAATTTGTAGTACCTAAACAGTCCCGATTGACAGTTGAACACGTTTTTTACACATGTTTTGACATTTAAAAATCATTCTAATTTTATAAGCCAATAATTAATCTCCCCATTTGGCTTAATTTAATTTCAGAAACGACTTTCAAATTTTTAATGTCACTTTTGTGAGTGCGCGTAGAGTGTTTGCAAAATAAGGAACATTGACTACTCCCTTTTAATTAGTTCTCTCAAATAACACACAACTCCGCCTAAATTCATGAAACCAACCAATGTATCACATAGTATGTAGGCATATCAAAATCTAAATAGATATACACCAACAATATATTAAAATTAAAAGACCCACCATATATAGTTAAACAAATAGTGAAAAAGTGAGATCAGAGAGTTAAAGTCAAAATGATAGAACCGGTTAATTAGTGGACTTCTTAGCCCGTAGAAGGTTGGTCTTGACTGGTTGTCTAGAGTTGGGATTCAGTATCTTTCTGGACTTCATCAATCGGGTCGATTGACTCTCTCTTCAGCAGGATCAGTAACGCAACATCGTTGCTTTAATCTAATGTGATAAGAGGTTAGAACTTTGTCCTTTCAGTGTTGTATGAGTGGAACTAGCTGGTACTAAGGATAATCACCCTTACACATGTCATCTATAAGTTGTACAAGTAGCTTGAAACAATAAAATTCGAGATCAAATGCAATGTACACTTTCTGAATCAATAAGGATGAACTATCCCCTCATAATCGACCTAGGTTTTGTTTCTAAACATTTCAGTTTTATTTCTCCTTTATGCAATGGATACTAGAGTTTATTGCTAAGTTCAAGCTGTTGATCAAAAAATCTATGAAAAGCCCACAAGTTCAATCACATAAAAATCTGAAAATTGAATCAATATAACTATTTTTGGACAAATTTCACAACCGGCTTAAAATTCTTAAGATAATCATGAAATTTTCATTGATATGTTTGTTCACAATTAATTCAATTAATTTCATAGATTGAAATGTGAGTGTGTGATAGGACGCTTTAGATATAATTAATTATGAACCATGTCCTAACTAGATTTAACACTTCCAAGGACTACATGCTAAAATGTGTTTCAAACCAACCATCATCTGATAATGTCTCTTTAATTAAAAATATGTGCGTACCAAACTAGAGCATCTATATAATTTTTTGTTTTTGTTTTGCATGGTCATGTGATGACTTTTTCTATATTCTTTTCAATTCAGTCATTTCAATTATTGGAATTGAATTCACACAGTCATAAGGGTAGCTTTTCTTTCATGATTTATGCTCATTATAAGACACGTCTATGGTGGTAGCCCTTTCCTCCAGTGAACTTGTCTGTTTACACAACATCATATTGTAGTGCACAGAGACATATATACTAATCATATGTCTACACTTAAACAGATGTCGACTTTAGATGCCCACCTAGTCAGTAAATGGTCACAACAGTATTGTCACAACTTCCTAATGGTGTACTTATCTAACAACAATTTACCATAAGTGAACACACCACATTGATTGGAGATTCCAGTTTTATCTTAATGACTACAAACCAATTAGAATTTAACATCTTGTGACATTTGCAAGAAAAGCCCCAATTATTCTTTTTATCTTTTTCAATTTTTTAGTTTTCATATAAATGAAAAACACATTAAAAAAAATGAACACTCATAGTCAAACAAAAAAATTGTGTACATTGAACGGGCTTTTAATGTTTCGTGCAAATGCCAACAATTTTTCACAAAGTTTCAAATCTAACAATATCTAAAGCCTTGATAAGTAAATCAACGAGTTGTTCTTTAATGTAAACATGTTCTAGGACAATAATAATTCTTTCAACTAAATCTCTAATGAAATGATGTTGAATATCAATGTACTTAGTCTTAGAATGTTGAACTGGATTCTTAGAGATATTTGTAGCACTAGTATTATCACATAGCATGGTAAAAGAATCTTGACTAGTA